TAAATATTAAAGACGTGAGGGACAAGTCAAAAAATTACATTATTACAATTAAAAATAAAATAAAAGAGCAATATGGCGTTTGTCATCTTGTAGAGTGCATTTAGTACTATCCCTTCTAAAAGTTTAAAGAAAAAATTGTAGCGCTCTTTGAGAATTTCTTGTTTGTTATTTTTTAATTGCGAATATTACACGTACTATTGCTCGAAAACTACTACAATTTTCAAACAATGTACATAACCGTAATGAAAGAACTTATTATACACAGCAAATTTCATTTGAAGGAAAAGTCTCTAGCTTTAGCTTTGCCGGAAAAATTAAGCATTTTTAATTATTTAAAGACGAGTTATTAATTTAATTTTGTGATAATAAACTGAATTTTAGGAGTGAAAACATTTATTACAATAAAGTATTAAAGAAAATAAATTATAATTTTTATAATTTCATGAAATAATTTAAAATTTAAATGTTGGTCTTTTCTTCGCAATTACAAATTTATCAATAACAGTAGAAATATTATTTTCCAACCAGTTGGGTTTTTTCGTGTTCAACTGATAAAATACTGAAATTATTCAGTCTTGTGTCATTCTACTTCGTAAATAATTTTTAATCCGCTTTAATTTTGAAAACGTTCTTTCGGTTTTGACGAGCGTGCCAGGAAGTGCCAAAAACAATGATAATAATGGGAGAAATCTGTTAATAATGAGCAACGTTAGGCAATAATACGTTTGCAAGAACTTTAACAAATCTAAGTTTTGAAATTTGACTATTTAAACAAATGCGCAAAGACAATATCCGAGACAAGTTTTCATTCATGTTACATCTGCGCGGTGTTTTGTTTGACGTTTTTGTCCTTCTTCGTAAATTTCATCGTTAGAGCTACCAAAACTTGTGGCTGAATCACTTTTAAAATTGCCAGTGTTTTTTTACAATCCAACAAATCATCGCTCCAACTGGTTTATGGCAATATCTAGGTATCCATAGTAAATAGTGAGTTTGTATTTTTGTTGGCCATCAGTGTCGTGGGTCCTAGCAAAGTTCACCAAAATATGATTTAGTTTTCTTTACTTGTTTATTGTTAAATTTCACTTCTGCTTTCACTTTCCAGGCAGGATAATTCTATTGCCCAATTTTCAAACAGGATTGCACAATTCTATTGCACAATTTTCAAATCATGATAGTGATTCCAAAGTCTTCAATTCTTTCGAAGCTCTATGGAGTATTCTGTACCGTTTGCAAATCCAAATCAGGGCTTGCAAGGTAATTCGAAACAGTGTTGGTTGATGTTAGTACGTTTGGGATGAAGCCCTAGATTAAAAAGAAATTCAAAATTTTCCATTTCTTTTCTCAAGTTAAGGGCTTCATTCGTTTCAGACATTATTATAAAATGTAATTTTTGTTAAAGCTTGCAAAATATTAAAATATCATATAGCTATTAAGTTTTATCGTTCTGTGATGACAATCTTAATAGTCGAAGTTGTTAGTAGTACATTAGTAAAATTATTTCGCTTTTTATCTGAATCCATCACACACACACATCCGTTTTGTAATATTCATATTCCCCCTATTAATGCTACGACCAGAGAAAACATAATTTTCTTCCAGCAAACAGTAAAATATCTTAATTCTAATATCCCATTCATGGCATCATTAAGCAAAAGATTTGAAGTACGAGCAGCACAATCCAGAAACAATGCATTGTCAACTTCAGCTATTTTTTTCTGAATACCTTGTAAATTCAACTCATAACTGCTGCGCCATTATTTCCTTCATATTTACATAAATAAATGCCTTGATTTTTTAAGCTCTCGTTAATACCAAACTTCACGCAACCCCTCCAGTGCTGATTGATCCTTTGACTTTCTTAAATCCTACTGCAACCCTACTTAATTCATTTTTATTTCAATCGGTTTGTCGGATTCATTTTCCTCGATTGTTACATTATCGCAAAATTTGACTTCATTGGTCAACTTGATACGTCTTGCGTTGTGTCCGTTATAATCAATTCAATAGCACATTCTTTCTCGCGTTATTTTTAAATTTGCCGTTATCAAAAAATCAGAGTCTTCAACGAAAATGAGACCCACGGTATTCTTTTAAGCGTCTATTTTTCTATAGTGGAACAAATTTATAGAAAAAATTTTGAGCGGGTTTTGAGATTTTTTTTAGAAATTGCATACATTTTAAACGCATCACGCGAAAACTACTTGGTTTTTTTTCTTGAAAAAATTGCACACGATCCTCTTCATTTCTCGCGAAACCGGACGAAGTTAAAATGGCAGCGATATGCGTCACAGGAACATTAGATTACATAGTACTCCCACAATAGCTCACATTACATTGTATGAGCGAATAAATCGAATATGCTTCTCAGGAATTCTGTCGTGAACATTTGTTTCACCTTGTAAATATTGTTTGAAGCAAGTACCATTAAATGATATTAAAATTTGTTAAATCAGCGAAAAATGCATTAAAAATCAAGTAAAAACGTAAAAAATGACTTATTATTCGAAATCGACAAAAATGCATAAAAAGTTTATAAAACGGATCATTTGTTTTTGTCATAACATAAAAAGAGTTTCTAAACCAAATGGCATTGTTTTAAAGTAAAAAGGAAAAAAATGACATTTCATTAAAATCCGCCCCCTAGAAATTAGATTCACACTTTTTTTGTCATATCGACAACTGTCGATTACAATGCATTTTTTTAAACTTCCGATGCAAGACCAATTTCAAAATGTTCCGAATTGTCCTTTGGGTCAGCAATGAAGTACGGTATGCTTGCGTAGACTTGAGCAGTACGCTCCGAGAAGGCCACAATACGCTGGCAGAAACGTTAGCCATGTCGGCGTCGCGGCTCGTCCCGAGTAGCCTAGATCACAATAAACTACGGCAGTGAACGTTGAGGTTTGTTTGCACCTCGGGCGTTACTGGATGATTCTCCCCCGAGGGCCAGAGACCCTCGGGATTGGAAGCCACCCTCGGGACAGAAATGGGGTTTTAACGCTCTAGAGACACTCATGAATAACTACTTTGGTTTCCATCCGCGAAAATTATTCTTCATGACAATTGGATTTATTATTGTAAAACATCTAAATGTAAGCACTTTTTAAAAATTGGAAAAAAATGCCTCTCCTGAAAGTTAATAAGTTATGGCATATATTCTTTCGAGCTTAAGAATGTCAACATGAGCTTCTTTAAAGTATGCATCATGGTATCCATAGTATCCATCCAGTAAACAGTTCCCTGGAGTTGAGAGACCCTCAAGATGAGCCAGATTGATAGAAGACAACGACGTTTAAAAAACTGTACGAATCGTTTATACTCTGAGCTTGTTAGATTCACTTAGACGTTTTTGACATTTTCGGAAGAGGAACACCTGGAAAATTTTTAAATGATCGAAGCACTCCATGTACAATGAAAATTTTGGTTTTAAATTCAAGAGGTCGCCACGTCTGCCAGATCGATTGGCGAATATCAATTTTGGAGGCAATCGGCGGAGGTTTGTGCGCTAGCGGTGTGCCCAGACAGACAGACGTTTCGCAGTTAATCGATTTTTCGGTATCAAGGATCCGCAAAACATGGATTCTGGCTACGCCACGTGTTAGAGGATTTTGTTCCCTATTTTTAGCAACTATATGTGTCCTCTTTTCCCTTGCCAGGGCCCGCGTATTAGAGTTTTCGTGTCGGATATTCGCCATCCCCCCCCCACAGCATTACATAACTTTCTTTATGCAACGTAAGCAGTAGAGAGAAAGAAAAATAAATGTTCGTTTGTCCGTGATTGATTAACTCCGACACCGTTTGACCGATCTCCATGAAACTTAGCACATCGTGTGTGTGTGTGTGTGTGTGTGTGTTTGTGTGTTTCCACGGAGAAGGTGTAATGCTGTTTACTGCGTTGTAACTCTCCACTAGATGTCACTGCTGCCCAAGATCAGGACCCAGTATTAGGTTATTTTGCACCACAAGCAAAATGATATGTTTGCGCCCCCCCTATAAGAAAGAAATATTATTCATAAATATTTTTTGATATGAAATATGATATATTACACATACACACACAAATATATATATATATATATATGTATATATATATATATATATATATATATATATATATCTGTGTGTGTGTGTGTGTGTGTGTGTGTGTGTGTGTGCATTAACCAAAGACAAAATGATGTTTACAAGCACAAGACAATTTTAAGTATTATAAGATAAACTATTTTACAAAACGTATTATTACTCATCTTAAAAATAAACTCTGCGGGTTGTTTCTTTAGTGAATTGTTTTACTTATTCAGTTCGATCACGTATTGCGAGATAGAAAGTTTCTCCTGGACAAGAACGTTAAATAAGGCATCGTCACTTAAAACAAGGCATCAATTCAATTCAATAGTTTAGCAAGAAAATAAGATCTGCACATTTCGTTTCGCTATGACTGGGTTTGTCAACTTCCTCAATTGCGAGATAGAAAGTTTCTCCTGGAAAAGAACGTTCGTGATTCGACCTCTAGATATGACCACGCCCGTTTTGCTCATACAATGCTCGCGCTCTAGGCTGTGCTCGTCTATCCGTCCGTGCCGTATGCGAATAACACTTACCTCAATTGTCCGCCGAAATAGTTATTCCCGGTCAATCTGGCTGATGTCTCTGCCTTTCGAATTTAAGACGGATCTTTTACATTTTGGGGGTACTTTACATGAAGTCACTACTACATTCTTTTAAATTTTTTAAAAAATTAAAATTTTCTTTAAGTCTTTTGCTGGAGTAAAGTAAAGTACCTCTTATTTTTAGTAAAAATAGTAGTAGAATTTAAAAAGCCTGTGTCTCGCCACGTAAAATAAGGCAACAATCCGACTCCATCCGACTCCATCCGACTCCATCCGACTCCATCCGACTCCATCCGACTCCATCCGACTCGATGCAATGCACTTAACGCTTGGTGTGGCAGGTACGACGTGTACGAGCTGCTGGCGGACGTGGCGCTGGGCAACCTGGAGGCGGCGTCGCGCGTGCCGCGCTTCGGCCAGCTGGGCTCCTCGCTGTTCCGCGGCGTGCCCGCGCGCTCGTGCCCGCAGGCGGGCGTGGCGTCCGAGTACTGCGTGTGCGTGCGCGAGGTGGCGCTGCGCGCGGGCGACGAGGCGGTGCAGGCGGCGGCGCGCGCGCTCGTGGCGCACGTCAACGCGCTGCTGCGCCGCGCGCCGCCCGAGGCGGGGGCGGGGCCGTGCGCGCAGCTCGCGCTCGCCCGGGTGCACAGCGCGCAGCTGCTGCTGCCCAACGCCTGGGTCTCCACGCCAAAGGTGGGTGCTGCCAGCCGGCGGCCACGAGCATCCCCCAAGCGCGCACTGAATTGAAACTTCGTTGTGGACCTAGTGTCAAAAATCCTTCCACCGTCACGACTGAAACCCTAGGACCTCCCGGTCGGAGGCACCGCACTCACTTCATTCGATGCCCTGAGCTACCAAAGCCGGCGCTGGAAGTTGGTTTCTCCGACACCGATAAGTTGCGACGCCTTTTGACAAGGGTTGGACTGAAACATGCTAACTCGTTTTGTCGTACCACATTTCACATGAGATTCTACTGGGGTTCTACAGGAATCGAACCCTGAATCTCTTTGTTGTAACTCTCCACAAGATGGCGCTTCCCTTAGAAGCAATTCTCAATCCACCTGGGCTTCGTCATTGCCGGGCGTTCGCATGTGTAACCCAGGCTTCTTTCTTTTGTTCAAGTGAACTCAACATGCATTTTGGCTTAGCGGTTTCTTAAAAGAAAATGTCTACCTTTCGAAATCGGCCGAACTGACAATGACGCCGATACGCGTCACAGGAACCTTAGATTACGTAGTACTCACAACTGCTGACATTACAATACATGAGCGAAGAATTCGAATAAATTACTCAGGCATTCTGTTGTGAACATTGCTGCACCTCGTAAATATTGTTTGAAGCAAGTTCCATTAAAATTATGTTAAAATCGATGGAATCAGCGGAAAATGCTGTAAAAACTACGTAAAAAAGGTTAAAAAAAGGCACCTATTAGTCGAAATCGAAGAAAAATGTAAAAAAAATATAAATAAATAAAAATGGTTCATATTGTTTTGTGATAACACAAAATGAATTTATGTACTAAACGACGTTGTTCTAAAGTGAAACGAAAAATGATATTTCATGAAAATCCGCCCCTTAGTTATCATCTTTTTTTACCAGAAGTAATCGGTAACTGAAATATCGATATTTCGCGCATGCGCACTTCAAGTTTCGCATCACTAGAGATAGGAGGAGACTGATCGATCTAAATATTTCTATGTGGTTATTGTTTTTATCAGACGTGGAAACTGAAATTATATTGGAATTTGTTCATATTATTGGGTAGCACCATGTTCTGAGAATTAAATAATAAATGTTACTATTGTAGGCTATTGTGGGATTGGGCAGATTTCTTAATAAAAGATAACTGATTTTGTCATCACCTGAAGCTTGTCTAAAAAACAAGATTTTTGATTCCGCTTTTAATTTCATTTGGGGAAATATTTTATTCTATGTGGAATATTGTAATGGGGTGCTGATGCTACTAGTGATATACAAGTATATGTGAGCAACATGTGTAGGTGTACTGTTAAGGGTGAGCGATTGCGCAAAGTAATCAGCCGAGTCCTTTGCTTTCTCTATAGGTACACATTTTGTCCTGAGGTGTGATTAATGGGTTATAGTTGTTTTATTTTTCAGGATATTTTTTATGAATTGCCAAAGCGAATTACTTGTGCTCCATTGCTGTATTAGTCTATTATAGCAGGTGCTTATCCACGGGGAGGGGAAATGAGGGGAATTCCCCCCCCCCTAATTGTTCTCAGAAACTGTTATAACTGTTAATTTTAACTTGCCACGAAACATTCAAGCAAAATATTTTCTGATAAACGTGTAGTCGTGCATTGGAAAACGGCGAATTTTCGAGAAAAGTTTTCTGTTTATCGTAGTAGTATCCATTCTGCAAAATTTTATTTACTAGAATACGCGAGAAAATAGTTTTATCTACAAAATAGTATACATTTTCAAATCAGTGGTTTCAGTGTTACGAGTTATATATCTGCAAACTCAGGAGACAGACACCTCTCCTTAACCTGGGAAAAGAGATGAAGAGGGGGAGGAGTCAGGGAGAGGGGAAGCGAGAGGAAGAAAGAGGGAGACAAGGGAAGAGAGAAGGTGTGAGATGAAGACGGTGGAAGGGGAAAAAGAAAGCTTGAGACAGACTTTTCTGAAAGCTACAACTTTTCTTTTCCTCACTTTCCTTCCACGACAAATCGATCAAAGGGGCGCAAGAAAACGAACACGCTAGCCATGGGTCGACCCGTGGGATTTTACAGCATATTCGGATGACGTGGTAGTGAACCGTAGTCACCGAGGCGGTAGAAAGAGAGAAAGGGAGAGAGAGAGACCGAGGCAGAAAGGGTGAGAGATTAGGTCAGTAAAAGTGCCTGTGAGAACTGTTGGTGGAAATTAATAATAATAATAATAATAATAATAATAATAATAATAAGGGTGGAATACAAAAAGAGGCATGATGAAGTGGCGAAGCAGGTCCACCAATTATTGGCGTTGAGAACGGCTTACTCGCCACTTCCGTGCTGTATTTAATATTGCCTCAGAATGTGCTAAATAGTAGGAGCACCACCTATCTACTGGATCGCTCCATTATCTGACAGAATTCGGCGCGGCCAATCAGACCATATAACGTACTTGATAGAACTCAACAGCAGTTTTCCTTATCGATAATCAATACCAATACCCACAACAATCGAGAAAATATCAAGAGAAGATCCAGAAGTAACCGTCTCGCCCATGAGAGTCGCATCTCAAGTGAATTCAGTAAAGTGACAACTGTGCCTATAATAATATCACTACAGGAGTGTTCCAAAATGACATTCGGACTGGATGTCTTCAACTTGATGCAGAATGTATATATATCGCAAAATTTAATTTTGAATTGTGTATTTTTGAGTAGAAATATGTTTATGCCGTATTGTCAGAAGCATCTGGAATCTTCATAAAGCAACACACACTTGGTCTCATTCTGTTGTGGTTGACATACGCCAGTGATATTGAATAATTAATAGAATAATAATAGTAATATATAAATAATAATAATAATAATAATAATATATTAATAATAATAATAATAATAATAATAATAATATGCCTATATTGATATGGCGAGGCTCGGGCGATTAGGCCCGCTCCTCCGCCTAACCACAAATATTGGAACGTGAGTATTTTGATTTATTTCATGTCAATAAATTAGTGTCAGGTTTCTGGAAGCAAGCTCGGTTGAGGGCATAAAACAAATCCAAAAGAGTGACTTTCAAACGAATGTAATATGAAACGCCAATTCTAGACAAACTGGAGGTGTTACGGAATAGCACAGACTTCCCCGTATTAGGGTTCTATTTCCTTTGGTCTCGGCTAGCTATTCGGACTTTCCACATACTCTTTCCAGATGCCATTTATCACCGCTCACAGTACATTTTTTTGAAGTTTTCTTAAATTTTCAGTTTCCTAATACTAGGACGAAAAAAGTATTTTAAGAAGATTAAAGAACAGGAAAACCTCGTCCTAAATAGCAAATTTCTTTGAAAAAGTTGGAGCCGTTTTTAAGAAAATAGTGTTTAAATGCTACTGTAAATTCGAAATTTGAAGCTCTTTTTCACAGAAAAGTTTATACAATTAAAAGTTAAAAGGTTTGACAATTTTGTAATAGTCGTAAATCTGATTGTTTGAGTTCTATCATTAGGGTGCCGAAAAATTGAGAAAATGTGAGAAAATATTGTGAATAAAACTTGTTACGAAATAAAATTAGAACATTTTCTTCTGTCTAAAGCGTTTAAAGGAACTTGTTTCTTAAGAGAAATAAAACAATAAGACAATATACAATTCTATGAAATTTTTTAGAAATTATAATTGAGAATACATCGCCACAAATAATCACGAGAAGAGTAGCTAGCGGTATCTGTATGTGCCAGTTAAGATGTCGCGATGTAGGAAAAATGTCGCGGGCTAATTTTATCTCGCTTCCCCAAAACGAGGTATACGAAGGTGCTAATACGCAAGTGGCACACTTTTCCCAGAAATGAGGTATATGTAAAGCTGGAGTGAAGAAGATGACTCGGTGCGACAGCTGTTGCTGTAGATCTGTAGCTGGTAGGCTCCGTTCCGGCAGTGGCGAATTTTTGGCACTAGGTAGGTACCAGCCGTTGCCTGGAGGAGAATTTTAGCGACCGGCTGCTCTGATTGGTAGTTTTCCGTGGTAGGGAATTCCAGAGCTTTACCTTAACCAACGGAGCATGGACCACTCGCGATCTTTCCTACCCCATCCGTGTCCCCTCCTTTCTGCTCACACACTGTATGATACAGTCGGGAGCTTACAGTTTGTCCCCTTGGGGCGGGGTCAGTGTGAGCGAGATTAGGGGGAAAACCTCGTGAGCTGGCGTGGAGAACGGCGCCGGATCTCGCATTTGAGTGGGGGGAGAAGGTTTTGAGAAAATATTGTTTTTGAATTTTTTTTAATTTGCACATATTGCACGCCATATTGCGTGAAAACTAATATTATTTCCAAAAGCATGTATATGACCTTAAAGAAAGAATTAATTGTCAAGAAACAAGTTCGTTTAGAGGAAAAATCTCTATCTTCAATTTTGCAGTTGCAATAAGGCGCCTAAAAAAATTGTAGTGTTGCAATTAGCGAAAATTTAGAGTTAACATCGAAAATAGAACCTTTGCCATCTATATGTGTTTTTACTCTATTCTTACAAGACATTTAAAGAAAAAAATTGGAAGGAAATTTTAAAAATATCCAATGGGATTTATGTAAAGTACCCCCAGAAATCACTGAATGTTTTACAAAATCGCAGAGCTTTTACTCAGACCAGATGGACGAGAGTTTCTATAATTTGGGAAAAATTCTGCGCATGATTTAGGCGTTAATGTTGTTCACATACATCAGACGGGCGGACGTTTTGCCGTCAATCAATTTTTCGATATCAAGGACCCACAAAACAGGAATTCTGGTTTCACCACGTGTTATAGGATTTTTTCTAAATTTAGCAAATCTATTTATCCACTTTTACGTTATCAGAGTCCGGCAATTAAGAGTTTTTTGCCGAAAATCTTCTGTTTTTTCGTGCAACATTACATTACTTTCTCTCTACTGCTCTAAGCGGTAACGAGAAAGCAAAAAATATCATACAATCATACAATTAAAGACGAAAACACTTTTAAAAGTAATTTAAGGGTCGAAGACGCCACAGTAAGCTACTTTTAAATCTACTAGTTGTTCCCTTGCGAACATCCTGCGCATGTTCTTCCTCTCAAAAGTGAGAATAACTTCGTATTGGAACTCAAGTTGCACCGTTAATTACACCCTTAGAGTTTGAGCATAATTTATAAAAATGAAATAGAACGTTCTAAAAGATCTCATCATGGCATGTGAAATAAGAACTTCTCGTTGTAAGGACAAACGATTCATCGTTTCAGATATGCAGGATACGGATATGCAGTAAGAGTCACAATGTAACGTGACACGGGCAGCGTGTAATCTGCGTAATTTAACACCATGCTGGTATTTGACCGCATTTCTTTTATAATGTCTATTATGTTAAGGAATTTAAATTCTGAAATAGATTTTAAAATGAAATATTGAATACATTAAAGACTATTATTTATTAAAAGTTATTATGATTACGACACGGATCTGAATTTACCTTTCAAAACCCAAAAAACCAATATGTCGCAAGTTTCTCAAACTTTTTCCTTGGTTGAATTTTGATAAGAAAACTAGACCCGTAACTTAGAAGGAAAACTGGTTTGATATTGTTTTAACGAGCCAAGAGGATCTATGTTGAGTTCTTTGTATATTTGACAGTTTGAAAATTACTATTAATGTCCTTTGTTAAATTTTTAAAAACTTTCTTGTGAACGATTTTTAAGGGCTTAAGATTACCTAAGTCCCGTCTTGGGTATACGTAAGTAAATGTGCATTATGATTGATTTGAAAATCAATAATCCGTATTCTGTTTTTTTTTAATGTTTTGAATTAAAGAACTGATTATAATATTTTGATTTTATTTTCTCGCTACTGCTTACGCGGTTTAAAGAAATATGTAATGCTGCTGGGGAAAACGAATTTTCGGCAGAACAATTCTCATTGCGGTCCTGGTAAAAAAATGTATTAATGCAATTACTAAATGTAGAAAAAAACTCAAACACATGATGTACGCAGAATCAATGCTTTGTCTTTGACACCGACAAAACGATTGACGGGGAAGTGTCTGTCCGTCTGAACAACTCTAGCGGCTAAACCGTTCAGCCGATTTTGTTTTAAGTTGACATTTCCCAA